GTGTGTCAGAGGCAATGCGATTGGCACAGGATAGAGCACGGTTTAGGGCTGTTGTACATAGGGTCACTATGAGTCACAAACGACTTGACAGCACATAACAACAACAACAGTATTTCCTTGCTCTGTTCTGATGACTGCCTCCTAATCTAGGTATAGGTCACACATGAGCACAATTAGGTGTTCTGCAATTTTCATTCTCTTCAAGGATAGACAGTTTATTGTAATCCACATAGTCTTTGCATAGTCAATGAAACAGACATTCCTTTGGTATTCTCTGCTTTCAGCCAAGATACATCTGACATTGACAATGATGTCCCTAGTGCCATAGCTTCTTCCAAACCCAGCTTGTACATCTGGTATTTCTCTATAAATGAACTAGTCATTTTTGGATAATCCTCCCGAGGATTTTGCTTGTGTGTGATATTACTGTTAGACAAATGTGATCACCACTACAGTACAGAAGCTTTCCTGTGATATTAGTGATGTTGTTTGAAAATTTCCATACTCTGTTGAGTCACATTTTTTAAAATGTGATTAAATATGGATCTCTTCAGTCATTTGGAATGAGATTAAATTTGGATCTCTTCAGTCATTTGGCCAGGTAACTAACTGTCCTCAAGATTTCTTGATACAACCTGATGAGAACTGTCCAGAGTTGAATTTGTTGAAATATATCAATTGGTATGCCGTCAATTCCTGGGGTCTTGTTTTTTACCAATTCCTTCATAGTGGCTTGAACTTCCTCCTTTATCACCATTGCCCCTTGATCATATGTTGTTTCATGAAATTCTTCTGTGTCAGCCAATTCTTTTTGGTACAGTGACTCTGTATACTCCCTTCTATCTTCTTTTGATGCTTCCTGGGTCATTCAGTATTCTGCCAGTAGCATCTTAAAGTATTGCAATTCAAGGCTTGAATTTGTTCTTCAGGTCCTTTTGCTTAAGAAATGCTGAGCGAGTTTGTCCCTTTTGATTTTCTGACTGTAGTTCTTCACAAGTTTCGTTTTAATACTTTGCTTTGTCTTCCTGAATTGCCCTTTGAAATCATCTGTTCAGCTCCTTAACTTCCTGATTTCTTCCCTTACTTGATGATGGGTAAGAGAAAGGGTGTGACTGAGTAAGAGTTAAATTGAGTCACACCCTCAAAGTCTGTAACTCAAGATGGCAAACAAAGCACCCTTGCCTTACACATTAACATACAAAGACTGGAATTTACACTTAACCACAGAGTGTAGGATGGCATTATACTGAGTTAGTACTGGAGAGGGTTAAACAGCGCGGCTCCTTGGAGGCTCCATCTAACATACTTTGGACATGTTGTAAGGAGGGACCAGTCCTTGGAGAGGGACATCATGCTTGGGAGGGTAGAGGGACAGCGCAGGAGGGGAAGGCCTTCTATGAGGTGGATTGATTCAGTGACTGGGGTAATCAGGGTGGATGTGTTGGAGACAGTGAGATTGGCACAGGATAGAGCAGGGTTTAGGGCTGTTGTACGTAGGATCGCTATGACTCGCAAGCGACTCAACGGCACATAACAACAACAACATGTAGGACAGTAGTATTCCAAGAACCTTTCAAGTTGACGTATGTTTTGAGAGGGGGACACAGTTCTGTCCCTGACAGTGCTTCATTCTGTACTTGTATTTATTTTGCAGTTTTATTGGGATTTGGACGGAGCCCTCGTGACATTATGATTGTACATTCAGCTGCTTCCTAAAAGCCTGGTGGTACAAACCCACCAGCTCTTCGGTGGGGGAAAAGATTTGACAGTCTCCTTCTGTACGTGATAGTCTTGAAACACTGGGTGACATTTCTACATTGTCATTATAGGATTGTTAGAGTCAGAACCAATTCAGTAATGCCATTTTTATAATGTGGCTGTCATTTGAAAGATTGGAGGCTGAGGGCCACCCAGAGACGTCTGGGAGAAAAAGCTGAGTGATTGAATAGTCTGTTGCATGCTGACACACAGAATACCATGTCCACAGAGGGCAGCTGGAACTGGAATATTGCTTGAAGAAATGAAAGTGGGTGGGGTGGCCTCAGGAAGACCCATGGGTACAGCTGTGCAGGCACCTTGGTCCAGGGTGAGAAGGTCTCTAACAAGCTGAGGGCTGGTTCTCTGAGGAGCCAGGTGTCCTGTGCAAGCGGTGTGGGACAGGTTGGCAGTGATTGATGTCCAGGTTAATGGTTAAAATGAAAGAAGACCAGGGATTTCTTAGCCAGAGTGTCATCAAACAATATTTAAAGATGTAAAAGTCAGCAGTCGTAACAAGGTAAGAGGGAGCTAGTGTTTGCCAAAACTCCATTGTCTGGCATATTGTATGGGCTCAGTAAACTTCCTCTTCATTTTTCTATAGAAACGTTCATGTTCAAGATCCTCTGTTGACAATGGATGAACCAAGCGTTCAGTAGCTCATTTGTTCTGAGGTGTTTGGGCTCGTTTGGGGCAAACACTAATCATCAAGTACACCTTTGTTCTCTGGCTTCCCCCGCTGGAGATGGGCACTGTTTAGATTGTTTTCAGTTGACACACTTTGGTTTTCCACCTCCGAAAGCACATCTGTTGCCTCTGCTTTATTCACAGGGCGTGTTGGAGATTTCGGGGGAAACCATGACGAGAAGATAGAACAAATACTAATAATGCTTTTCCGCAATCGCTTTTTGCTGCTGCTGGCCCTGGCTGCGCTACTGGCCTTCCTGAGCCTCAGCCTGCAGTTCTGTGAGTATAACTGGGTCATGAGAAGGCAGGGCGGCTTCTCGCGGGTTCAGGGAGCTCTGTTGGCCTCATGGTAAGGAGTTGTGCTGCCAACCCCAAGGCAGGCAGTTGAAATCCACCGGCTGCTCTGAAAAGATAGTCTGAAAAGCAGTCTCCTCCCAATTTATAGCCTCTGAAAATCCACTTGAAGGGTCAGCTGTGAGTCGATTCTGACTCAGTGCCTTCTAACAATACCACAAGTGGGTACAAGGTGGCGGTGGTGGTTCTGTGGCAGAATTTTTGCCTTGCATGCAGAAGACTCAGGTTTGATTCCCAGCCAGTGCAACATGTTACCATGATGCAGAACTTTCAGACTAAGACTGACAAGGGAAGAAAGGCCTGGAAATCTGCTTCCCTAAATCAGCCAGTGGAAACCCACATTGGTTTGATCCGCATCCTATCTGGATGGATGGTGCAGAATTGGACAGGTTTCATTCTGTAGTACGTTGTTGTTGTTGTTATGTGCCATCGAGTCACCTGCAACTCATAGTGACCCTATGTATCTCTGAACCCTGCCCTATTCCCAGCCAGTCTCACTGACCCCGACACACCTTCCCATATGATTCCAGTTACTGTGTCAATCCATCTCATCCTGGGTCTTCTTCTCTTGTGTTGTCCCTCCACCTTTCCGAGCATGAGGTCCCTCTCCAAGGACTGGTCCATTCTGACAACATGCTCACAGTATGTGAGACAAAGCTTCAAAATCCTTGCCTCCAAGGAGCAGCCTGGTTTCACCCTCTCTAGGAGAGACCTGTTTGTTTTCTTGGCTGTCCCCATGGTATGTTCAAGACTCTTCTCCAACACCACAGTTTAAAAAAAAGGCATCAATTCTATCAACCTTAGTCATGCATAGCAAGTAATTGCAAAGACCATGGCCTTGATCAGGTACACCTTAGTCTCTAGACTGACATCACTGTTCTGTGCACTTTGAAGAGATCCCTGACACCAGCTTTCCTCAGTACAATCATCCTTTGATTTCTGAGCATGGTGTGTGTGTGTGTGTGTGTGAAAGAGAGAGAAAGAGAAATGAATTTAAAGCCCATGTTGATTAGCTGTCGTTGTTAGGCAACACTGAGTTGACCCCAAATAGACAGCAGAACAAAGCACTGTGGCACCTGGCCCCGCGCCATCCCATTACCTGTTGTAGATTGGACTGTGTGATCCATAGGAATTTCCTGGACTACCTTTTGGAAGTAGATTGCCAGACCTTTCTTCCTAGTCTTTCTTAATCTGGAAGTTCTGCTGAAATGTGCCTGGCAGCATAGAAACGCACAAGCCTCCATGAATTGACTGTAGTGGCTACACACAGATGGGCCTCAAATCAAATGCATGTCCGCCGCATGGAAGGTGAGATTTCTACCACTGCACCACAGCCGGCCCCTCTGAACAGCCCCAGTTCCCTTTCCTCCCCGTGCTCTCTCCTTGAAGCTGCAAACACTCCTGTATGAACAGCTGAGCTTCATGGGCCCACCCTCACCCTGCTGGTTGAGAAACCAGTGGTTGGCACTCTTTGTGAGCCTGTGCCAGTGACAGTGTCTCTATGAGGAGGTGATATTTCTGTCGCAGTTTCAATGATAGAAAAAAGAATAGGTAGCGCTGAGCATGGTGGGAATGTGTGGGAAAGAGTTGGCTTTGAGCAGGTCTTCCTGACTCCCTTCCAGTTTCTCACAGATCCCCCTGCACACACTTGGTGCCTGTGGTGGGCTTGAAAGGACTCACTCCATCCTTTCAGTATAGGAAAACAGATGAACTGAAAATGGCAGAAGGGGCTTTAAGACACTCCAGATTGTCAATAAATTGTAAAATAGGAGTTCGTCCACAGCATTACGTAGGTTCTTGGCCATTTTCCTTGTTTACGACTTTTCATTAAAAATTTTCCATCCTTGGGCCGGAGGGGTAGATTGTTTGACTCACCCCTGACTCTTCTGAAGCTGATGAGGCTTGAGCCGTGCATGCGGGCTCCTTGTGTTTGCTCTGCTTTTCTTGTATGGCTTGGTCTCCACGTCACCAAGTTGGCCTGGGTGTTTTGCTTATATAATAACTCTCCTGAAAGTACCTTCTGTTTGGGGAGAGCCAGTTTCCAGCCATACTTTTTAAGGAAAATTTTGCAGGGAGAATTAGCTGGGGTGGGTGGGAGCTCTCTCTCTCTCGTCGGATATTTTGGCGTTCGGAAAGATATTCCTGAGAAATGGACCTTCTCCCTGCTCTTCTCCTTTTAGGTAAACTAGAACTTTGAAATTTACTTATTTCTATGAAAATAGAATTTCGTTGCTTTATTTATTTGCTTCCTATTGTGAGTTATAATGCAAAGGTCTCTACACTTAAGTAACTTTCATGTTTTCAGCTTTTGTCTGAAATCCAGGGACTTCTGTTTTTTCTTCATCATGCCTTTTGACTAATTTTTGTTTGGTACCAATTTAGAACATATAATTATTTTAGGAAATATATTTGAAACAAATCCAACTTAATTTTCTCCTGCTTAAAGTAAACATTATGCTGTTTTGTTTTCTGAAATGATTGACTCTTACCTTGTTTTCATTCTGTGGTGCTTTGAATAGGAAAAAGTTATGAGTTTATGGATAAAGTTATGAGGTTATGAGTCAAAACTCAGGTTATTAAAAAAGCATCGTTTAGAAAATGTGTCTGTGAGCCTAGTGATATTTAAGTGTGTAGATATGTTTGACATCTCTCACTCTGTGGGGGTGGTAAAGAAAAAATACCAAAGGTGAAGATACAGTTCAGAATATAGGGGGGAAATATTAATTTGAAATGACACAGGAATGGCATCTACTTCCTAAACAACATGCCTCCGGAAACTCTATGAACTTTGATAAATGTCGATAGTTGTAAAGGGGCTTCAGGCCTTTTCTTCATAGGGTCACTATGAGTCGTGCTCAACTCGATGGCAATCAACAACAATAATCTGTTCTATACTAATAGCCCTTAGTTAAACTCTTTGGTTTGTATTTTCAAGTTCTAGCTGGTTTGGGGATTTAGAAATAGCCACATTCTAAAATTCCTGGCATTAGAATTATTGAAGGGAACAGGTAAGATGTAAATATCTTTCGCTGTTCTCACAAAAACCTAACGCTAGGTAACTCAGAAGTGGAAAAATAGCTTCGCACGTTGAGAAGTTCTCTGGTGCAACAGAGAAAGAACATGGGGATATGAATGATTGGTTTGTGGCTACTTGTAATTTCCCACTTTCCAGTGTTTCATTAATGCCTATTTTGTGCTCATTTTTGCCGTGTCACAAACAGCATTCCCAAAATGGCGTGAGAATAAAAGCAGGCTATAAAGGCAACAGCCATGGGTTTCAGGGCAGCCCCCTATTAGCTATCAACTTGGGGGGAAGGCGTAACACCCCGCAGCCTCCGTTACCTCTTCCTGATGGGGTTTCTTAGTGCTGCTTTGTAAGGGTGGTGTGAAAGCGAGGCGCCTTCTGGAGAAGCTCGTGGAAACGTATTCAGTGTCAACCTTTTAGGCAAACAGGACAGAGTTCCTGCATTCAGGGGGTGGTGGCAGTTAGGTGCCACTGAGTCCAGTATAGCCCATAGTGACCCTGTGAACAACAGATCTGAGCCCTGTCCTATCTGCTCCCATCCACACACTTTCTGACACACTCGAGTCCATCACAGCAGTCACTGTCAATCCACCTGGTCCAGGGTCTTCCTCACTTTGGCCAGCGTGCCACCTTTCCAAGCAGGATGCCCCTCTCTCTCCTCGCAACATGCCTGCGTGGCCCCAGGTGGACATTACCGCTGAGCCCACGTTGGAGCGTCTTGTAAGTCAGCGCCGTCTAGAGGTGGGACGAGTGTTATGCGGCAAGCTCTTCACATGAAGGGGCGCTCTGTGAAGAGGGTGCCACGGGCAAGGGAATAGCAGGTGGGTTACTGGACCTGATTCCGTTTCATCTCTTCAAAATCCTGAAAATGTATTTATTTCTCTTTCCGTATGAGTCCACTATCATAAATGCGCACAATTTTTTCTTCAACAAATGTGCCTTGGAGTTCTACCCTGTGACAGTCTCTGGGCCAGAAGTTTGCTCCCCAAAGGGGCTACAGGATCTACCTGGTGAAGCAGAATCCTGAGCAGGCACCTGGGATGCAGTGTGAAGTATCCAGAGTGAGAGACAACACAGTGAATTGACTTGGATGGCCAGACCATGGACCTGAGATCCAGGCGACCTGGATCGCAGCACTGTCCTGCCACTTCCTAGCTCTATGACCTTGGACATTTTGTTTGCTCTGTATACCTTAGTTTCTGCATCTGTGAAATGAAAATAATGATAGCTTTATTTTATGGAGTTGTTAAAGGAATAAATGAGTTTATGTTGTACAGTACTCTATGCAGGAAAGAAGAAAAGCAAGCTTAGTTGATGGGAGGAATGGAGGGAAGACAGAGGTACCCCAGGGCTGTGTGGAAGCAGCGTCCTGCCTGAGAGGATCGGGGAACCCAGTGAGGGTCCCTGTCAGGAGCCTGTCTGGAGCCAGGGCTGCACCACTCAGAGGTCTGCACCAGACTTAGGAAGGACCAGGTCTCCCGGGCGCATAGCAAGCAGAGCCAGACTAACTCCATGTGTTCTTGTTTTGTTTGGCCCAAGCAATGTTTTTACATTTTAAAATGTATTTGCCAATGCAATTTAAGAACAAGGCCTTTTCATATGAATTCCTAGCCCCTCTTTAGAAAACCACACTCTCCAGCCACGTGAGACCCACAGCCCCTGGCCGTGAGGGCTGCTGGAGCCTGGCAGTGGACGAGTACACACACTCCTTTTTGCCACAGTTCCCACCACTCCTACTAATTATATTATTTCTTTACCTCCAGAGGCCAGGTCAGCAACTGCACCAGGTGTTTGCCTTAAGTGCAGATTGAAGAAAAAGGAGAGGGTCAGAGATGAAATCCTGGGCCAGCAGAGAGAGAGGCTGCCAGGCAAATGGAACAGCAGCAGCTGTCAGCTGGGG